GCAACAGTCCTTTCAGCTTTCATTTCTTTCAAAGTTTCAGATATCAGCCTCCACACGGTGGAGAGTTTCTGAGCATCCTTAGATCCCTTACTAACTTCGTCCCACAGAGCAGCACCTATAAGGTCCCAGGTATGAGTAGCATAAATCGCATCAACTGTGGGGATCATATTTCTATCACACACCCACACTAACAGCGCCTTCAAGGCATGCTCATTATACTTTAATCCTCTCCTAGAGAGCATATGTTGGAGGAGTTTCACCGCTGCTTCCTGCTCCTTAGCTTGCGCGGACCCCATCTCCTCCCCGGCCGCTCACCTGATCAGGGCGAGATTCCCAGGCTATTTTGCCACTTAAGCGCGCTTATTCCTTATTCCGAGTGCCGGGGCAGCACTCACCTCACGACCGGCTTTTCTGACCCCTCCTCCCCGTCAGGTCGTCAGAATATCCAACGCTGAACTGAGGGTCCCTCTTTCGGGCGCCACTTGTTGACGCGGAAGCTCGGACAGATACACCACGACCAATATGATCAGGGTAAATGCCACTTTATCGCACAGATAGCTCAGCTAATATAGACAATTTTCTCCCGCGCCACGCAACACTCAAGCAGCAATTGGTTACATGCATAGTTCAAACAAGCATCTCTACTATATGATTGGCTAGCCCCAGCTGTTCACTCGCATAGTTATCTACTTCTATGTTTTACTCAAAAATCCTGCTTATCGGTACATTCAGCAACAGTTCTTTCCTCCCCCTCCACATATCAGCCGTTCACAAAACACAATTTGACCTTCGACATTCATTGAAGCTTACACTGTCGTCAACAAGTTCTCAGTGTTTGGGATGCTCACAGGGTGACCATTGGTCTCTAAAAATGCTCCCACAGAAAGGTACCATGATGGCATGTAAATTTTTCTCATCTGCTTAGTCCTCATATTTCAACATGGTGTTTACATAGCATACCAGGCAAACATAGTCATTAGTCTAGACCTATGCTTTACCTTAGCTCCTAATAATCATTGTGCATTTACAAAAAGTATCTTCATACAAACTTCCTTAGTTTACACACAAATATAGAGGAATTTGATTAAAACTTCCATCTAAACCTACAGATTGTTTTTCTTATGAAATTACAACAGTGAGTACTAGAATACTATTTTCAGAAGCATATGTTTTTTCAGATTTAGTGGAGCTGCTTTAGTACTACTAGATCAACCCAGAGGATTCTTGGTCTAAGCATGGTTTTCTCATTTATCATGAAAATATGAAACTTATTTTAAGACTATACGTGAAATAATAGGAACCATGAACAAGTGACTACAGACATTTCCAAAAATCTTTTTAATAGAAAGAAATAATCAAATTAGAGTCACAAATAAGACATCCACAAAGACATCTAGCTGCTGTCTGCTATGAACTTTGGCAGACTCCATCTGTGTGTGGAACACGAACGGCACCATGCTCGGCCTCGTATCCGAGGGTAGAAAACATTTTCAAGAAGGCATTTTCATTAGAAAACATTTTCAAGGCTGCCTTTTCCTTCATGTCTTCTCCTCACCCCGCGGGGGCAGACAGGAAGCAGCCCTGCAGCACACCTCTCCCGCCCCCCCACCCCAGCACAGCCTTTGCTTTCGCAGCCGGGCCTTCTATCAGAGGCAACAAGAAGCGGTATGACCGAAACTACTCCTCCTCTACTGGCACAGGAAAGCAGCCACCAAGGACACGACAACCCCTCACACAACCCACAACCACCAGCCCCCACCCTTCTAGCGCGATGCAGGGGAAACTGCATCTTCCGCCACTATGAAGGCGCACGGGGACAGCTGGGGGCGGGGTAAGCTGTCGTGCTAGTAGTGCCTGCCTGCGAGCTCCACGAACCAGTTCACAGGTTTATAGTAGTATCATTCCCTTAAAATAAACTGTAGATTGCTTATACAATATAATGTAACATTGGTTTTGACCTAATGGGGTCGTACAAACTTACGTAAAACACATGCATTTGCCTTTTCTGGCTGTGCAATGGTTGGTAATTCATGCACCAAGCAGTCAAAAAAAAAAAAAAATAATCACAATTTCTAGACATTTTAAGTTAATTTCAGACATTGTACAGAAACATGCACGTAACAGTGAATGCTTCTACAGAACCCATGCTTTAAGGGCAACATTTCAAATGCAGCAGTTTCTGTACTTAGCAGTCAGCCTTTAAAAAAAAAAAAAAAAAGCCTCCATGAAGACTAAATGGTTTCAGTTTGTACAATCCACATTACTAAACTATTTTTGAAGTACAAGTGCAAGGACTATTGCACTGTCAGTATTCCCCCCAACATCCCTCCCCTAGCAGAAAACCCCAGCACAGTACTCCTCAGGAGATAGGCAGCTTTTCAGCACTAGGTCAGTAGGGGAAAGAGGGGTGGGGTCAGAGGCAAAGACATAAGACACAAACCCACAGCTCCTTTTACAGCAGGAA